TTTGCTGATGACCTCCTCCTTTTCTGTAAGGGTGATTTATATTCTGTACAGAAAATCTACAAATGTGTCAAAGACTTTGGAGATATTTCTGGATTGGAAGCAAACCCTTTGAAGTGTTCAATCTTCTATGGTGGGGTTCAAGAATCAGATAAGAATGCTATTTCAAGATGCTTGGGGTTCCCTGAGGGTACTTTGCCTATCAAATATCTTGGTATGCCACTCATTTGCAAGCGGATGTCTTATCAGGACTGTAATCCTTTGTTCATGAAAATAACAAACCAGTTTCAAGCATGGATGAAAAACAAAAACTTATCATATGCTGGTAGATTACAAATCATTAAGAGTGTTATTCTGGGAGTGCAAATATTCTGGACCTCTAGCTATATCCTTCCAGCAAAAGCCCTTCACAAAATAGATGAACTCTGCAGAAACTTTCTCTGGGGAAAGGTTCCTCTTGTTGCTTGGAGCAGTGTATCTACTGGTAAAATCAATGGAGGCTTGGGGGTTTTTTCTGCTGCCCTATGGAATAAAGCAACTGCTATGAGGACTCTTTGGTATATTCACATCAACAAGGAGTCATTATGGATAAAATGGGTACATGGTACCTATCTTAAGGGAAATGATATCTGGCATGTTAAGAGTAAAGCAGGTGACTCCTGGCTATGGAAGCAGTTAATCAAGTATAGAGACTATGCTGTGAACTTACTGGGTGGTGTTGAGAACTTGAAGAATCTAATTAGCTCCTGCTATGTAAATTCCAAAGTCCAACTCTCTGCTCTGTACAATGTTCTAAAACCAGGTTCAAAGGTGGACTGGCACGATACTGTTTGGGAAAAGTTAAACTACCCCAAGCATTCCTTCATTATGTGGCTGGCCATTCAAGATAAACTCCTTACACAGGACAGATTACACAAGAGAGGGATCATCCAATCAAATCAGTGTTTGTTGTGTGAAGGTGCAGTAGCTGAGAGCAGGAACCACTTATTTTTTGACTGCAACTTCTCCAATTGTGTGTGGAATGGCATTATGGAGTGGCTCAAATTCAAGTGGAGATCAGCGGATTGGTATTTGCTCATGAACTGGTATACTTCCAGGTTAAGAGGAAAAGGCAGCAAACAGAGGATTAAAAGACTAGCTCTCACGGCTACAATTTACAACATCTGGAGGGAGAGGAATGCTAGGATCTTCAAGGAGGAATTCAGAAGTGTAGAACAGTTGATCAAGGCCATAAAAGTTGATATTTGGACCATCCTACTCAATTGCTCTCTGCCTGATGAAGCTTACAATTGGCTCTTGTAAGTGTGCCAGGCAAATCAGTTTTGATACTTTTAGCTTCACTGTTTTGCTCTTTTCTATTTTAGAATGTTCAGATTGATATCTCAATGTTTTTGAGAGTCTTGATGTACAAAACGTTTACACTTTGGTGAGTGAAATAAAATTTTTCATTGACAAAAAAAAAAAGGACAAACTGTATGTGGAAATCAATGTCAATCACTGTGGAACAACATAAAAATGTAGCATAACACTTTAATTATCAGTTAATTGCCTGTTAACTCTTTAATACTAGGAACCGAGGATTGCATAGCACAGAATAGAACCTGAAGTCTAATATCTATTAAAATCAATACAAATAATGGCAAAAGACGACAGAAAGGCTGGTAAAATAAAAAGTCCTAAGGAGCTAAAAATATGGAGAGTATATATATGGTATAACATAATCAAGACCAAAAGTGTAAATTTGAATTTTTAATTTTTCATCCTTATCCTCCTGTATTTTTTCGGGTTTTCTTGATCATAAATATTCTAAGCAACTAGTAACAAACTGTCAAGTTACAAAGAAAAGGCCCAATCCCAAATCTTAATGTAGAAAGAGAACAAAATGAAAATTCCAAGCCATAATTCAGACAACAATTAATTAATTCCTATTACATGTAGGCCTAGTATTATTGAAAACTATTGTGATTTTACAGAAACAAAAAAAAAAAAAAAAAAAGAAAAGAAAAGAAAACAACATCTTTTCTATAAAGTTAGGAACTTTTTCATACTTTGAACCAAACAAAGAAATAGCAAAAAACAAGAAATATGGTACTATTTGAGTTCTATAAATTTTTCCTATAAATTTTATAGAAATACAAGAAAATCTATATTTTGGGTGTTTTCCTTTTCCTATAATTTATAGAAATTGAACCAAACACCCCCTTATATAAGTTATACGATTTTAGTTATTACTACTTCACTTGAAACCATATCATTATTTCTTTACTGAAAGATGATGGGGACAATCATACAGATACTGCTATTCATAATGATCATTATAAGACCAGAAGACATCATTGACTTAATATATATTGGCCTAATTAATGAAGATGTATAAATCACAAGAATTTTTATTTTAACAGAAGAAGATTATGGAGAATATATCCCTCGTTTGTGGAAACTTTGTTAATCATCACATCAATGTTTTATAGTTGATTAATAACAGGAGAGCCACAGATGTAGCCACTATACAAGCGCGCAAACACCTTATTGCTCTTAACGTACGTTTCACTCTTTTGAATTCTTTTTACAAGAACAAAGTAATACATTATCTACACATTAATCTTGTTATCCTTAATTATATATACTTCTTTACTGACATCTCCTTGGTACGTTCTTAGATGACCCTCTAAATCCTTGCACAGATCATGCTTAAGAAAATTAGTATACATGCTAATGTTTGCTTATTAACATGTGAGACTCACTAGAATGTTAATTCATTCTTGTAATAGCTCCATGAGAAAATAAATCGACAAAGTTCAAAAAATAATGGAGGCTAAAACACCTACTTTTTGTAAACTTTGGAATTTTACTGCTGATAAAAAGAAGAAACAATTTACAGAAATAGTAGGTACTTCTAAAACTTAACGCATAAGAACGTAACCCAAACCAGAACTTGAATCTGCTAAAAACAACTGAAATAATAGTGCCAATAAACAAGTAGAAACTAGTTTTAAGATGCAGGATAGAGATTGTAAATTTTGGGTTTGATTGTAGTGGACTTGGATGCAATATTTCAACACCTGGATTAAGGGACTTGATTTGTCTCCCAAGATAGTTCAGATCCAAAATACTCTATACTGCTCACTGGTTGCAGGCCGAAAGACCATTTTGAAACTTCATGAGATATATAATATGAGAAAAATTTGCAAGGAAATTACTTTGTTTTCTTTTGCTTTTTAATCATCCTGAGTTTATCTTTTTTTTATGGAGCCCTCAAACCAACGGTTCCATGGAGTTTTGCATTTAGAATAATTGCAGATTTACAGTTCTGAATTTGCAGTTTGGCAGTTTGACAAACTGCATATTTGCAGTTTGAAAAACTGCAGTTGTCCCTGCAGCAAACTGCAATATAGACTGCAGATTTTGGCAGTTTCTGGCTGCAGTTTTCTGCTGTTTTCAGCCAGTCATTTGGTTATGCAGGTGCTATATCCACACCAAGCTTCATCTTTCCAATAATTGAAAGTTCTAACAGAAAATTACTGTATGTATAGAAGCCAAATGATGGTAACAGAAAATAAAACAATTTCCGCTTGCTTAAGGACTATGTTACAGGGATACGGGTGCAGATGCAATGCAGACACAGACACGGGTGCGAACACGGACATGGGTGGGGATACGGGACGCGGAAAAATTGTAAGAGTTAGGATTGGGGGACACGGCTATATACATACATGTTAAACTTGATAATCTACTGATATTATTTTTCATTCATAAGGTATGAGAACTAAAATCCTTATACCATTTTTGTGTTTTTTTATCTAGTAATTATAATTGAAAAACTACGCAAATTTTAACTAGATATCCAAACGACCCTTTAAAATCATTCTTATGAATTAGGTATTTTCTAAAACAAGCCTATCTCATGTCCATTGAGTAGTATAATTCGAGGTGAAGTGTACAATATACATTCAAGAAGTGTATCACAAGTAATTTGAACTAAAAAATGTGTTATATAATTAAATATATGTCAAAAAAATATATGTATATATACAAGAAGTGTCCAAGGAATGTCGGCTATGGTCATGGACACATACACGCTTACAGGTTAAAATTAGATGAAGTGTCCGGGTAACCTAGCTTGAGAACCTCTTACAGCATCCTAGACTTTGATGGTTATAGATTTCTTGATTTTTTTAAATTACTTCAGAATTTTAAACATTGTGAGGAGTTAGATTTCTAATAAAAGGTAGTTTCATATTTTCTGTTAGATATTGTTGGGGATATTCGTTTCCAACTATCAGTGGGCATGGTTCTTCGCTTCTTGATGCTAATGAAAAACATCCACTATCCTAGAAAAAAAATCCAGAAAACCTTTTCTTGATGGAAGAAATATTAAAAATACCTGAATATTCATTTCCAAAGATTAAAAATGCTTACTGACAATTTGTATCATCTGCATCTACATTTCATTCTGTCTGACATTCATTACGGATGTTTTCATTTGCTTTAGGTTTTGCTTCCTGTCTAATACATAATTAGACGCAATATCATTATTGTATTATAATTTAACTTTACAAATTCCTTTAGCCCGGGAATCAAACTTGCAGGATGCATTGCAGCTACCTTCAATTCATTGTGCGACCTTAATATTTATTTGTTTATTTTTCACTTCTAGCAGCAATGTTTTAAGACGAGAACTATATGTAGTGTTTCATTGAACTTATGAATCTCTGTATGGAAATTAATTATATAGAATTTTTTTGGACTTAGTATATCAACTGAAGGAATTGACAAGAGATTCACATATATATAAAGGTTATAAGTATTGTAATGTAAAGCAAGCCACACTAATTACCATAAAGTAATCTACACAAAATAAATTGTTTGTACATAGACTTAGCAAAAATAAGGAAAGAAATCTGAGTAGTTTCCAAATTTGTAAAGGATCGTCAAAAGGAAATCTGAGTAGTTTCCAAATTTGTAAAGGATCGTCAAAAGGAAATCTGAGTAGTTTCCAAATTTGTAAAAGGATCGTCAAAAGCTATCGATAATAGGATTCATGCTGCAGGCCTTGCAGGATTGTAACTGTATACCTCAAACTCACCTGAGAAATTTCCGTCGTTAAGTTGCTCATTAAAGAAATTCACTCTCTCCTCGTTCTTGGTGACCATCGAGTAATCTTTGCTGTATTGGTAGTAGGAACCATTTGCTAGTTTATCCGATTCACCATCCATTGCCATTTGCAGACAATCGGGAGTCTGTGGAACTTCACCAGCAGGCCATTCATCCTTCTCAATTGAATTGTAGATGAGATCTTCGCTAGAGTTGAAGTTTCCTCCATCGCCATTGTCAACGTCTACTAGCATCCTTTTCTTCTCCCTGGTTCTCTCCCTTGCTCGAGCTCTCGCCTCAGCCCTTGACTCCCTCGTAAGCACACTTCTGGATGACACATCCTTTTCTTTAAGAGGGTGTTTCTTTGTAGAATCTGATTTCTTCCCACTATAAGCGATGACAGGTGCATCTTGCGCATCAACGTTGGTAGCACTAGCCAAATGGATGAGGTGCTGCTCAATGGCAGATCTAGAGTGAGTGATGAGCCAATCAACAGTGGCACTGGCCTTGTCGAAGCCGAGCAAGTCTTGGAGGCTGAAAAACTTGCGAGCGACCTCGAGGGAGAGCCTCATCCTTCGGTCTCGGAGCCCTTGAGCTGTGTGGATCTTGCTGTGTCGATCGGTCCTTAGGCTCCTTTGTTTTCCACCTTCACCAGCAGCTTGGACGCCCTTCTTTTTTCTTGAAATTGGTTCTGTTGATGTATCTGTTTCTGTTGTTTTCTTGCTTGTGTTGGCTTCTTGATCTCGTTCGAGTTGTAGCGGTGTAAAATTATCAGTGAAAAGGTCGGCGTGGCTCATGAGGTTTTCATCATAGTAGAGGAAGTGGGCAGGAGAGGGTGGTTTTAGCTGAGGAGATGAAAGAGCGGGAAACCCGTCATTGTTTTTCAAACCAAAAGGGGTGTCAAGGAGGAGGTAAGAGGGGTCTCTGTAAGGAAGCATGCTGCAATTTAGGAGTTTGTTTTTTTTTTTTTTTTTTTTGTAGTTAATTCTTGCTTTGTAAAAGGAGAGAGATTTTGGGGGAAAGAAAGTGTGCTGTTGATGGAGCGCTGAGGAGGAGGAAGAAAATCTGTAGCAGAGGTGCAGAGGGGCCTAGTAGGACTATTTAAAAACCCCACTTCCTTACACTGTTTGCTTATTAACTTAGGGTTAGGGTTAGAGAAAGTCAGCAAGGGGTAAATTACACTGTAGATAATTATCACTAGAAAAATTCCGTACGGTCAAATAAGAGAAACAGTCCTAGATCAGTATACTCATCTCGTCTAATTTTTAGAATCATCAGCTGTTAGCTTACAGAATCCATATTTATATAATAGCGGTGCCAATGTATTGCAAAATCCATATTATAATAGCGTGCAAATGTGTTGGATATATCTAATATGATACTTATCATGTTCATATTGATAAAGTATTGATCACAAATAAAATTATATTGAGGACATTTGAGACAAATGTAAGATTGATAAAACAAATAAAAATTACGTGATAGAAGAGTTGCTACAACAAACATAATTTCTCAAATTTCTCAAATTTAAGCCCACAAGTATTCTTCACTTATTTTAAAATTTGACATTGGATCACTACACCCCCAAAATTTGTCACATAAATTTAATTTAAGGTTAAAGTAATTTCAACCGTGATTGATACACATATTCGAATATTCATACATGAATTCAAAATTCTATTGTATTTTTATCCTGCCTAAACTTAAGTCTAGAGTTGCAAATAGTTCAAATATGGCTCTCGGATATGATACTAATTGTATCCATATCACCTATTTGCCAAACAAGCAGACATATATGGATACAAATATATGTCAATAAGAAAAATCCATAACCATATGCGCTAAATTGAATATGGATACCGATATACATGTGAATATATGCAGATATAGATGTGGATACAAAACGGATATGAGAAAACTATGTATTTTGAAAAGAAAAATATTTATATGATAAAAGAGAGTTTGTCAATATATTTGTTATATTTGAAACTCTAAGACTAGATCTCAAGACCTAAAACAATTGTAACTATATCACCAACATATATTCGGATATATATTTTGAATATGGGCCCGAATATTCACTAAAAATATTTCGAGTTTGTAATCATATACTATCAGATATAGATATTTAATAATCATACATGTGTCCTCACAAATATATCCGAATACATATGTGTGTACGTATATATACATATATTTACATTTATATATATTTTGCACCCTTACGTGTATCCATTTACCGTAGGTATGCCCATTGTATTGCACCGTCTAGAACAGAGGTTTTGTTACATGGTATTTATAGATAATCATAAGATTTGGGTTTTCATTTTATCTTCTATCCTTTCTTACACTACGCCCCAACTGGGTCCGTACACTTGCAAGGCCATTGGTAGCACGTCCTTTTCTCACAAGCCCTACCTAGGGACAATACTTTTCATCAGCGGGCTTGTGATCTCTCCCCATCAAAAACGCCTCTCTCTCTCTCTCTCTCTCTCTCTCTCCCCGCCCCACACCCCAACGTCTCTCTTCCCCCTCTCTCTCTTTATTTCTCCTCTTTTTTGATAGGATGGGGTGCGCTGAGCACCAATTTTGCCGATCGCATCCAATTGCAGCGCTGCTAATTACAGTCAATCCCTCCTCTGGTGCTCGTGCGAGCTTCAGAGCTGTTGCCGCCCCCAATTTGTGGGGTCATTTTCTGCTCAGAGAGAATGACAGAAATAAATGATAACGGCATACGCCGCTGTGTCTTTTTTCTTTTTCTGCCATCTATACATACCTCTCCAAATCATGTCATTAAAATAGGTGAACGGAAAAGAAATGGTGACAGTATTGAGCTTTTTAATGCTTAGATTAACCGTGAAGGCCATCTCCAACTGGCCTCTAAAGAGTCAAAATCTCCAAATTTAGAGAGTAGAACCTCTCCAACCACTCTCCAAATTTAGAGATCTCCAAATTTGATCCTCCAAATTTGGAGGGTGAAGAGAAAATTTGGAGAGTCTCTTTAAAATACTATTCATGTTTTATTAATTACAACTTTGCCACTTTTAACTATTTAATTTCTATGCTCTAGCCAAATTATTAGGGACATTAAAGTTGATATATATACTGCTATCCTCAACAAACCTCCATTGCCAAATGAAGACTGGGCCTGGTTTCATTCCCTGTAAGCTGAAGTTAGAGAGTTTCTTTGTTAGTTGGGTTTTAGTTCTTAGTTTCCAAAGTGTCTGAGATTGTTAATGTACTTAACTTCTATATTTTGGTTTGTGAATAAAATCTTTCGTTTACCAAGAAAAAAAAACTATTTAATTTCTTAAAAATTACCACTTTGCCATCATTCTTAGTAATTTAAATTAGATGTTTAATTTCAAATAAATATAGTTAAAAAATTATTAATCTAATATTTGAAATCATTATATATTTGGAAAGGTCTCGTTGAGATCTTTAAAATGAAATTAAGATTAATTTATTTTAGTATTATTATAAAATTATTAATTTTTAAATTAAATAAATAAGTATGAGACATAAAATTTAAAATACGATGATCTATTTAACTTGCTCTAAATTTTAAATTAAATAAATAAGTATCAGACATGGAAAGGTCTCGATGTGATTTTTAAATTAAACTAAGATTTTATTTTTTTAATATGTTGTATTGCATTATTAATATTGGGTTCATTTTAAAGCTCTCATCAACACCTTTATAATGTTATAATTTTTTCCCAAATAAATTATTAAAAATAAAATTATTAATGTAAACTATATCCAACATTATTAATTTATATGGCTTTTTTGACAAAAAAAGAAAAACATTTGGAGAGTGTGGGTTAGAGCAACTCTCCAAATTCCACCCTCCAAATTGAAATATTCCTAGAATCTTCTAATTTTGAGGGTGAAATTTGGAGAGCATGGTTGGAGATGCTCTAACATCGTGATCCACCATAAAAACATAAGATAGCGACAAATGGCATGTCCTCAGTACTGGATTTTGAGATGCAAGCCTATAGGAGGGGAATAGGATTACTACCTTTTTTTTTCAAAACTACAAAATACGTAACGAAAATAACAAAATAAAGAAGACAAATGATAATCAAACACATAAAAGCAACCAATCAGGAACACATAAGATTTTATAGTTGTTTGGATAACAATCCTGTTTGAACGATTGCGAAAACGTTGCTCGAAAAAATATGTCTTGTTTGATTAGTAACAAACTGTTATTTACTACATATATGTTTTGTGAGTTGATATATTTCAGGTATAAATAGGTACGAGCAAGATGCGGCTCAAAACGATGCAAAAATCAATATGAACGTTTATTTTAGCCTTCAAAGAATCGATGGTCCAGAGGCACCCATCAATAGTCAAGCATCTCATTGATATATAGTTACAAGAGCCAACCGGAAAAAATAGAAACAGGAGCCGACACCAATCGATGGTCAACAATGACCTATTGATTGTTATCGGGAATCATGGATGGTTACAAGAAACAATCGAAGCAATCCAAAAATTAGAATCAACATCATCATATTAAGAATTTTATGGAGATTACCTACGGAAGTAAACGTAAGAAATAAATAAAGTCATTAACAAAAATATTATACGCAAGAAAACATCAAGATTTAACATGGTTCGGCAAATCGTGCCTATGTCCATGGGGCAATCGAGAGAGAAATTTTCTAATATGAATCAATAGTACAAATCCTCAAAGCTAAACCTAAACTTGAGGATTAAACCACAAGAGAAAAATGTAGTGTTACTTTTTATGCACCGAACCCCTAAAACCCGTCTCAACTCAAATCTCCAACACCCGCAGAGAAACCAAATTATACCCTTGACGACATCATTATTCTGAAGTAAACATCATTGAATCACTATAATCATATAACCTAGCAATCCAGAATTTTAATTTTATCTCTCTCTCTCTCTCTACCTTGAAATTTGCACCCTAATGTGCACTCGGGTTCTCAAAAAAAATTACTACTGGGTTTCATTAGGGCCCTTCCTTTTAAATAAAGGAATCTTTCCTTAAACCTCTCCAAACCAATTCCAATTATAACTAGGTCCATATAGATCATTTTCTTAATAGGATTCAACCAATTCAACACATGTGGGCTTGAATTGAGCTAGACCCACAATAATCTCCCCCTCCAGCCCAACAAGAGGATATGCCAATCTGTGACTCCTCACCGGGCGCCGGGAGGCTATGTTGGCCAATTGCCAATATAACTAGGCATTCTCTCGAGAAACACTCTTCGTTAAAAAATATGCTGGATTCTTATGTGTGTGAATATTCTGTAGTTTCGGTTCCTCTTTCTCAATAGCTTCTCTAAGCTAATGATATCTCACATTGGAGTGGGATGTAGAATTCTTTCTCGGATAAAGAGCACTCTGACTATCAATGAAAACCTGATAATTATCCTACTGTAAGCTTAATTAACTCCTGTAAAAATCTTCTCAAACAAACCATCTCCTTACCAACTTCTACAGTTATAATATATTTTGCCTTAGTTGTAGATAAAGTAACATATTTTCTGTAACCTGTACTGCTAAGATACAGCTCTCCTTGCAAAACTAAACAACCAACTTGAGATAGACTTCCTGTGATTAAAATCACTTGCCATGTCCGCATCTGCAAAAGCTTGCAGTATGGGCTTTGAACCTCCAAAACTCAGACACAATCTCGAACTATCTTTTAAAAAATTCAAGATCCACTTTACACCTTCCCAATGTACTTTCCCTAGAATAGAAAGAAGCCTACTCACAACACCAACTGTATGAGCTATATCTAGTAGAATTCAAGCCATTGCTTACATCAAACTCTCTATAGCTGAAGAGTAAGAAATAACACTACAAGAAATTACATCTTTAACGAAGGGATTTCCCTTCGTTAAAGAGCTGAAAACCTTCGTTATTGTATGCTAACGACGGGGAAAAATCCCTTCAATTCGTCACCCGTCGTTGAAGCCCTCTTCGCTAAAGGGTCACGAAGGGATATACTACCCGTCGTTATAGAGTCTATAACGACGGAACATATTACCGTCGTTAATATT